TTGAAAAATTCCTTAAAGTGCTCCTGTGATAACTGGTTAGCCTTAGTTACAGACCCTATCCCTGCATACAGAGGATTTTCTTTGATAAAAGGTTTGCCTCAATATTTCTTCTTTCCCTCAGGAACTTGGCTTATTTGATGACCATTCATCACCTGTTGATGCTCACTTCCTTGATGGTTCTTCTTGGGATATGGCAGAGGACTGGGAGCAAGTTGAAACATTGAAAGCTGCTGCAGAATGCTCCTGTGAAATGGGGCTCAGTAACGTATGTTGAAGTTTGGTACATTTACTTGTAAGTACATGTATCAGTCAGCTACCCGATGCAAAATCCAAACACCCTGTCACTACAAATAAATTTCCATGGCTCGGCAGAAGGAGTGTCAACTCCTTTACTTGTAGAAGTAATTGATAGGTGACTCTTTCGTACAGCAGCAAAACATTATCATCATCACATACATGTGGGCATCATTCTCCCTAATTTAAAGCATGATAAGTAAAAGAAGAAATCCTTTTACAAGTTGAATGTTCAAGAATTCCAAGCAATTTTAGATGGAAAGTAAGAGCTACTACAGGCGGTAAATTTTACTAGTTACAGTGTGAATTACTCCTTCATTAATTACACTCATTTCATAGCAATTATAGTATCTGTCATAATTTATGACATTATAATTATTACTACCAGTTCTATAGCGACCTCAATGAACATGTGTCCAGTGCAGGACTCAAAGCTCCAATGCTTGTAAAAGGTGATGCTGGGTTTGGAAAGTCACTTCTCTTGGCAAAGTGGTAGGTAACTTTGTGTTACAATCAGTCAGCCATTCTATTTTATGCAAAGCTGTTACAGTAGTTTAAATAGGAAGAAGCATGACCAGGCTTTAGTTGATGATCATTTCCTTTATTCTCCTGACCTTCATGTGTGATTCAGGGGTGATATTGTAAGGAGAAATTAGATGTTAGTCACTCTAAGGGTTTAAAGGGTTTATTATAGAATATGCTCTCCCAGGGGTTTGGTGTTATGCAATTTTGTGAAATACATGCATAAAAGTTTCTAATATTTAGATTCATGCATTCTAATTGCAAAAGGACCTGAAGATAAGTTTACTGTATGTTTGTATCAACTTGGTGGTCTCTACTGACTGTTTTTTGGAATGAAGTAATTTCCTTCAATTCTTTAGTTTTAATCTTTACACACACATCCTCTTTTCCTCTCAAGAGTTGCCCCAGAGAGTTCTTTGGTTCCCTCTCTGTAGTCACCGTGATGTGAATGTAGTAATTAGTAGGCTGACAATGTTTTAACAGTTTCTTCGTTTTCATTCATTCAGGATAGCTCTGCAACAAAGCAGTTTGTCTGGACGGCTGGTGCTTTATCACTTTGTTGGATCATCTTCATCATCCAGTGCTAATTCAATTCTGATGATACGAAGGTTTACTCTGCAGGTAAAGTGTGGTGAAGTGCATGATCACTTGATATTTTGTGGCATACCAAAATAAATTTTGTTTTCTGTGTGTAAGTGTGGTGGATTTCTTGCAAACCATTTATTTGGCATCCAAAAGTTTTTTGAAATTTGTTCTCAAACAAAGTGGCATCATTACCATCGTCATCATCATTGCATCTTAACCCTGAAACTCCCAGCAGTGATCAACATGCAACTTCTCCCAATAACATTCATACATTACATAGCAAACAGGTAATGAGAATTCTTAGTCTTATCAGGTAGAATTTTTCATCTTGATCTACTGTAACACCAAATTCTTGCAACCAATTTACTCAGAAATGTGCAGCAGCTAGAGGGGAGAATTAACAATCAGATCTCGAGAGATAAAGGGTTAAGTAATGGTGTCATGGCTATTGCAAAGACTATGCTTTCAGGAAAACTGCTTTTAATTATTCTGAATGAATTTGAAACTTACTTTGAAAAATTTTAAGGAAACATCTCACAATTAGCTCTTCTTTTGCTTTACAATAATTTTGTAATAGTTTTTTTTTTCTATAAACATCTTAGTTGATGAAGCAGTTGGCATCATCACGTGCAGTGCCATGTGACCCAGGTCACTTGGAAGAGGAGTTTCCACGGTGGCTGGAGAGAGCTGCATCCAAAGTCCATGGTGGTATCACCATAGTAATTGATTCAGCTGATAAACTACAAGTACCGGTATGAAAATATTTGTGTGTTAGCATTGCATGCTTTTCTTCAGTAGGTTGTTGGATGTTAAATTACTGTCTCAAGTGAGGCCTTAACCCTTAAAACCCCAAGAGTGAGCAGTATCTAATTTCTCCTTACTTTATTACTGCTGAATCACTCATTACAGTCCTGAGAATACAGGAAATGATTGCCAAACCGAGAAATTGTGTGGTGAATTCTCCTTGTCAGTAACAAGGGACATTTGTAGAGAAGAGGATGGATAATATGGATACTAATGTTAGGGTGTAAAGGGTTAAACTACAAGTTTTGGTCATTAACCTTACACACTGTTCTTGATCAATGGCATCAATTAGGTATTTGAAAACCTGCCACTGTAATTGACCAATTACAGTTAGTATAGGACCTCACTTTAAACAATAGCATGTCAGTTATCAAAGATTGCTTCCAGTGTAATATGTGGAAGAGCTGGCCAGATAATTTGTATTGATATGGATAAATTGAAGATTGAAAGGTAGGAAGCTTAAAATAGTTGATGATGCTTTAGTTATTTTGTAAATAGTTTTAAGACCACTTTGTCATTTTATGCTTCATCAGGGTGCACCTAATCATATGAAGTGGTTGTTGGATCCTTTGCCTGTTGGTGCAAGAGTTATTTTATCCGTCACAGAAAGCACTTGTCCTGTAGCATGGAGGTCAGTCTGTTGTTCTAATTAAGAGGAAAAAACCCTTTAACCCTCATTACACTCTCAGAAGTTGACAAAATGTATTTTTTTTCTTACAATATCAATACTTTTTTAAGGGTGTTGAGAAGACAAAAGAGCATGTTTACATGATCCATTATAAATCTGTCTGAGAGTGTTTCTTGATATTTGATTGTTTTGACTGTAGGCCATGGTCATCACTGGAACTTCAGCCTTTGGATTTCAAAGGCAGTGTTGAATTGCTTGCTTCTTCTTTAAACAAGCATGCAGTGAATATACCTCAAGAACAGGTAGGAAAACGCATTAGTATTGGTCGAAACAGGGGCATTTATTTCCACTTTTGGGGATGTTTTGTCAGGTTTAAACTAATTTTGGTTTACCATGATTGCTACATCATTTTTGTTATCCTAATCCTTTTCTTTAAACATCAGTGTCATTGTAATTATCATTTCATCATCATTTTCATAGTCATTTTTTGAACAATAAGAATTCTATTAGACATTTTAATACTAGTAATAACAATAGTAACACTTCCATTCTGCATTAACCCTTCAGTATGCATATTCTCCATACAGCTCTTTCCACATTTCCTAAAGTGCTGACAAGGAGAATTTGTTTTCTAATTGAAAGCTTCTTTTATTGGTGATCATTTCCATTATTCTCCCGACCTGAACATGTGATTCAGAGGCGATATTTGATGTTAGTCGCTCTTAGGGATTAAAGAGTTAGTTTGGTAAAACATTCAGCAAAATCACTACACAATGTAAACAACAGTAATGATTAAAATAATGACCATTAAAAATATTGTAATACTAATATTTATGATAAAAATTTTAGTCAGATAATCTATGGCTAGAAATTAAATTAAAATTTAAAACTATGCTTAATAATGAAGAAAAATCTTTATTCAATACTCATAAAAAAGACCTATGTACAGTGCTTCACTTAAAAAGAATTAAATTTGTACCTTAACATCTGTTAGAAAGAAAAGAAAAAATCATAATGTCTCAATATCTCTTGAACTATAATCCACGAAAATGTTTCTCTACTAATTATTACTATTACTATTAGCAATCACTACCAATATTTAACATCTTTTCACTAATTCCTCTTTAAAATCTGCCACGGTTTCAACATGAACCAACAACAATAAAAACATTAAATAGTAGTAATAAATAACATGCAATATTCAATATCTTTTCTCTAAATAAAAATCTAGCGTCCTAAAAGTCCTGCTAAGCTGATAAAAAATCAGCTGATAAAATCAAAAATTTCCAAATCAAATTGCTCCCTCTGTTGTCTTGATGCCAAAATCAGCGTTCCTTTGAATGCAGGAGACTCTCCTCACTGACTCTCTTCATTGCATTTCTTTGTCATTATCAGTATTATTATTACTGTTATTATTATTATTATTATTGCTATTATTGCTATTATCAATATAATTTTCAACAGGTCAGTAAAATGCTGTATAATTCCCCTTCTGAAGACAAGTTCAATCCAAGATTTCTAACTCTACTGGCTGCAGAGATGGCTGCGTAAGTAGCAATCACAAGCACTTTCCTTCTTTGATTATTGCAATGTATGTTGGTACAATATCATGTAAATTCCTTACAATAGTGTTAATTTAGAGTAGCTTCAAGAAAAGTTTGTGACTTTAAATTCACCATGGAGAAAACAGAACATGATTCACAGTTCTATGTTTTTTTTTTGTTGTTTTTTTTTTTTTGGTTTTATCTCTGCTAGATGATTATGTCAGGGTGAAAGACAAAAGTATAATGCTCAAAATTATTCATTGTATCTTCTAGTTGTGAAGATAGAAAAGCTCTGTTTGACCACTTTGCAGATTGTTTATCCCAAAAGGTTTGTATGTTAACCCAATAATCAACATGTTCCTGTGGTACTGAACTTGTTCTGATTATTGTTGCTTGAACTGCAGTGTAGTTCTGCTATGTTGAAAATTTCTAGACTCACCCCGTCCTGTCTCCCTTACTCCCCAAGGATTCACAATTTTCTCATGATCTCAATTGAACTCATCAATGCTACAAACAATTTATTTATTGATTTATGATATCTTGCATGTTTGTACCTGAAGTGATGTTATCGCATGACTGGAATTGGATAAATTAGTTCAGCACCTAACAATATCACTTGTTACATGTCACTGAGCAAAGCAAATTTCATAGGTTTGATGTCACCCTATTCTCCCTGTCACACAACATTTTCCTTCCCTTAGTTGGGTTGACCAAGCAATGGCTGCAAAGGAGACAGCTGTCACGCAAGCATCAAACGTTTTTGTCAGCTTGTAAGCTCTCCTGTTGCAAAGAACCTCAGTCAACCCCCTGCCCCCTGCCCCTGCCCCATTTCTAGCTTATTGGAAGGTTCTCCTACAAAATTGGTGTACCACATTAATTTCTTATTCCTTATACATTAGTTGAGAATGAAAGAACTTTTAGTGTGATCGTAGAGTATTAGGGAACTATATGGGAGTGCTATAATTCTCTTGCTTTGGTAGAGGCTTAAAAATGGATGATGATTTTGCTTAGCCAAACCTCTTCTTTCTTTAAGCCACCATGTAGAAATTTTTGAATGTAGCAGCTTGTTTTATATTCTCTTTTGTAGAACACTGTGGACCTTTTGTGTCATATTTTGAGCCGCATTAAGAAACAATTCAGTCATATTTTGTTTGAATGGAAGCTGAGAAGGGTGAGTGAATATTTAGGTTGGAGAATACAAATGCAAACACAACTTAACGTGTTTGTTAACCCTTTGAATGCTTTAGAGTGACCAGCATCTAATTTCTCTGGAGAAGGTTTTGATTGTTAAACAAATTTTCCTGGTTAGCACCTCGGAAAGGTATAGAGAACAGTTTAAAACTAAGAATATATCTCATTGAATCACAATACATGTACATCCTGTTGTGTTCTGCCTCATTCTTCAAGCATGACGACAAGGTGGACCTCAGTGGCCCTGCCTTGTACTGTGTAGTTGCTCCCAATATGAAGAGTAAGCATTCTAATTTAACGTGAAGGGGAAAATGTTCCTTTTGATTCCAAGCAAAATGTTGCAGCAACATGTTCTTGCAATGTGTGAAAAGCAGTACTTGTTAACTACTATGTGACTGCCATAACACTTTGATCCCAAAGGTTGACTAACATCTAATTTAAGGGTTAATGAAGGTCACCAGAATGAAGGAAATGATCACCAATTAAAGTTGCTCTTGATTGTTAAACAAATTCTCCTTGTCAGCTCCTTAGCGAACGTATAGAGAACAGTATGGAGAATATGCATACTGATGTTGGGGTGTAAAGGGTTAAATGGCTTTTGATTGATCAGAAATTATTCTTCCCATCCGTGTTTTCAAAAATGTTATGGAAAGAGTAAATAGGGTTAACCTGAATGATATTTACTGCCTGGGTTTTAAAGAATATCTTATTTTCCTATCCAGGTATTTCTTCATATCCTTTTGGCTCGTAATGGGATCAGTGAGTGTGAGTTATTGAAGATTATACCAATAAAATGGACGGAGTGGTTATTACTGAGTCAAACCTTGCATCATAGCTGTATTGTCGTGACAAGAATGGGCCTTTTGACCTTTTCAAACAAACAGGCAAGTAATGGAATAAAAAAAGGCTTTGATAGGCTTACGACAAGTGGGGCCAATTCTGTGCATTTTAAACTGATTATAGCAAAAAGTTTTGTTAAGGACCCTTTACAGACTTCTCGAACACTTGCGGCTCGTATCACACGAGCATCGCACAGCTCTAATTAAAAGTTTGTTGCAGGCTTTCAAAGAAAGAAGTTAGTCACTCCTTTTGTTGAGGTATGCTCAGCATTTATGGCCTTACTCGTGGTAATAATCATTATCTGTGTTATTTTCAGGTAATAAGAGCTGTAAATGAAACGTTTTCATTTGAAGACAACTCGCAAGAGATGGAGGAATCGCAGGAATCTTTTATAAAATTCTTCGAGGAAAAGCTAAGGTACGACATCTTTCAGGGTTCCACTTGAGAAATTTCCGGATGAATGTCGAAAATAATCCGAAAACCCAAATCGAACACCAGTATCTAGTGAAATTGTTCACTTCTGTTGGATTTCAGACACTTGTCTCCGATGTTAGACTTTTATGTGAACACTTGCATCTGATATCGGACAATCCTGTCTGATTTCAGAAACTTAATGAGAGTATTTCCTAATAGATTCTCCGGGGAATTTAACGTTAACCATTAATTAGCTAATGTGTGTTTCTACTCAGTGTTAACCATATATGCTGGAGGTTGACTGACGAATTACTCTGGAGTTTGAAGAAAACTTGCAAGAAAGAAGAGCTGACAGAATGTCTTCTGAACCCAATTGTCTTTAAAGTGTTTTTTGAAAGGTATGTCTTCGAGGTTTCATGTTGCCTTTCACCAGCCTGTATTTTCATTGATAGAACGTTAGTGGGCGAGTAGGAAAGAGAAGAGGTTTCAACTAAGTCCTCTAGGGGGGGAAAAAAAAAAGAAGTCGTTAGGGCATTGCCTGTTCTCTCAGAACTAGAACGTAAAAAAATTGATTGAAAGAGTATAATAATGTGAAGCTAAATTTTACCCTTTACATCCTAATATTTGTATTAATATTCTCCAGACTGTTCTCTTTACATTTCCAATGATATTTACAAGGAGAATTTGTTTGACAATCGGTAGCTTTTTAAAGTTGGTGGTCATTTCCTTTATTTTCATGCGCTTTACATTTGATTCAAGGATGATACTTAATGGAGAAATTAGAAGCCAGTTACTCCTAGAGGGTAAAGGTTTACTGCAGATGATTAACCACACTTTATATAGTTTTTGTGGAGCGGAGAAGAGAAGCGTTTAGACGGAATTCTGATAATTTCCCGTACATATATCGTGATTTGTGTACTGTTTTTCATCCCAAGGGGCCGCATATCTGAGCTGATAAGTTACTGGGAATACTTGGGAATTGATCAGACGTCGCTTGGGAAGAAATACGTGGATGTGATAAAACAGGTGGAAAATGGTGAGTGAATGACACGTCGACTGTTGTTGAGAAAGAATTAGTTAAATTTTGTTCTTTAATGGGGTGATTTGGTTTTTTCGTTGGTTTCCACAGAGAGCGAACTGACGGAGGAAACTGCTGAAATATTTGAGGTCGTTGGTCTGTTTCTGAAATGCTTGGGGCTTCTCAGTCAGGTTGGTTTATGATTACCAGTAAGACTTGTCAATTATGATAACGTGAAATATTAAGTGTGTAGAGTGATCTTAAATTGACTGTCGAAAGTAATTCAGGGTTGCGTTGGTTTTGCTTCAAAACGTACTGTGATTGGTCCATAAAATTCGCTCCACTCTTTTAACCAATCAGATGCGGAACTAAATTCAATCACCTCACGGTCACTCTTGCTTTCCCGCGCTTTTCTTGCTTGTTTTTTCTTCGATTTCTGATTGGTGCCTTTAATTTTCTTCTCTGTCTGATTGGCCATTGTCATTTCTTTGGTTTTGGCTTTAAGACGCCCAGTCGAAAAAGTGTTTCAGTATATTTTCAGCCATCTTCAGCGATTTGCTCCAAAAGATTTGGTTTGAGTAGACGATGTCGTTGAAATAATACTTTTTTTCTTGAATTTTGAAGACAAAGACTAAATAAGTAACGTAAAGGTGAAAGAGAATGAGGATGGTTATGTATGAAGAAGATAAACGCAGATTCCAAATTATGAAATTGCAAAATCAGAGCTGAATTTTTAAGATGTGCAAACCGTGACGTACTCTCCTACGCTGTGTAACGCTCGATCAGGAGATTAGGAGATCGTAACATGACATCCTGAGGAACGGTCATGAAGAAGGAGGAGGAGAATGCTATTTTTAATGTGTCACTGAATTATTTCCAGGCTGCTCCATTGCTGCAACGAGCCTTGGAAATCCGAGAGACGGTGCTTGACCCAGACCACCCGCTTGTGGCTCAATCTTTGCATCATCTTGCTGATTTGAATGCGCTGTGGGGAAAGTTCAGGTAACAAACATTTGATTCATTAATGATTCTAATTTTATAGGAGATTCCTTACTTGCTTTATACATAACGTTTTGATCATGTAGTCTGGTCGTCGAGGGAAGACTAGTCCTGAAAAGGGCTGTGGTGGGTAATAGTGACTGACGTTTCTATAACCTGAGCGGAAACATCATTATAGTCACGTGATGAGTTGTTTGAGGTGTGTTTCGTGAAAACTGATTGGTCGGTTTTCATAGTGATGTCGGTGGCGGTGAATCTCAGGAAGTTTAAGTCAGTCTTGATTAGTCAGTTTTCATCCTTCAGGTTGTTTTGTGCCGTTCGTTGGTTACATTTTATTTCGCGAACAAGTCGTTTGTTTGGTGCGGATATAGTTATTGACAACTGTGGAGAGGAAACTTAACAACATGAAATGCTCATGTATATATTTTTTTACTTCCTTTATAGCCCAGCTGAAGCATTCTTCAAACATGCTGTAGAAATCAAGGAAAATGCTCTTGGCAGAGATCACCCTTCTCTTGTTAAGGTAATCTCCCTTTCACTGGATTCATGGGTTTGTGATTTGCAACGCGGACGATGATTGAACTGCATTCTTTTTTTCAGGATTTAGAAGGTTTGGCTATTTTGTACAAGAAACAGGAGAAGTGAGTAGTATTTTGAATTTTTTCGTAGTTTTAAAATTTTGTTTTTAAAAATACATGATGTCGAAAGGTGCTGCAGGTTTGCATTTCAACCTTTTTTTTTAACCCCACAGACATGCTATGGCAGATTCTCTTCGTAGACAGGCAGAGGGTATTAAGCAGAAGGCAAACTCATCAGTATGTAACAAAATATAATA